TGTACAAATGATTTCTATGTAACTATTACTATAGAAACCGTTATTACCCTCGGGGTGCTAGCCCTTTCGGATAATCATTTCTCTTTCTATCTCTCTAACTTCAAGGCTATTGGTGGACAGTAGGTCCACCGTGGATAGCCGTTAGCCAGTTCTGGATGAATCCGGAAACCTATCGGAGGCCCAACCACTATGGTAAACATAGCAATGTGCCATAGTCCCTAAACCACGATGAAGAAATACTTCATCGAACCATTTCAGATCATACGTACCATGTAGGTAAAGTCCCTCCATTGAGATATCCTAATCGAGTATGGATTCATGGAACGTCAAAATCCTAAACTCAATCTTCTACTGAATCGTCGATCAATATGTTCGGAACTTGCATCACAACTTAATAATTTGTATGACTAATAATAGACTCTGGCCAGAGATTCAGTTTTCTGACATTTATCGATGTTCGTCTAGGAACTCGAATCCGGATGGAGTCAGCGGTACTCCCGATCCTATATTTTCGAGTCAATGGATCCCCTCTTGACCATCGTTCGTTTCCGCATATGAACAACGCATGACCAAATAGGCTTTATTGTACGAAACATGATTAGTCTCGTACTTATACACCGTATGAACCATACGCATCCATATCGGATCCGACTACAATGTCTCAGGTCAAAGGACTACATCGTGCACTGATATAACCAAACGATAAATCATTGACTACATGCTTTTCCAAGTGATTTGTCGTTATTCGGTCACGTTCGAAAAACAGTTCACCAACCGTTAATCCATACCAATGCCCCAGTGACATGACTATCATCGTCATCCATACTTATATCAACTCATGATATCTTTCGGAAGCATCCGGTATGCCTACTGTGCAATATAGTTGCCCAAATTATATTGCTTCCGTAGGGAACCCTTTTCGATAATTCATTTATCGATTAAATGAATCATCTAGACAATTCATATACATATTTTATTTTAAATGCATGACTGAATAAAGGAAGCAATTTACATATATGAATTGAAGAACTCTTTCTTCTATTATTTATGATATATATATATATATACAAGACAAAATGCTCTGAAACCGACAACACGAATGGTTTCTAGGGCATACACTAATATACACTAACAGAATGGACACATGGGATCTCCACAGCTTCTGGTAGGTCTAGCGCACGCTTACCGTTTTGACGGGAGCAGGTCACACTCCATCACGTGATTTTCCACGTCAGCCCTTGGTTTCCCAGGCATAACAATAAGTTTTGAATAGCATTTGGAAAGATTTATTTTTAAGTTTGTTATGTTTTTTGAAATTTTTTAGTTATATGTGTTTGTCATTTTTATTTTTAAAGTGATGTTGGATGTATACTTACTAGAATGGATATTTATAATTTTATTCTGTAAATATTTTTACAATTTTAAAATTATATTTCAACTAATTATAGTATTGATTAACTTAATAATTAATTATATATTAATTTTAGTAAATATAAAATAAATTTATAATAATTGAAAAATGAAAAAAAAAAGTGTTCATTTATTCTAACAATAAACTTTAAAAAAACAAAATTGTTAAACTTTCAGCGTAAGATTTTTTCTTTTCTTTTCTTTTTTGAAATCTCTTTTCAGTGTTTAAAGGGACTAAAAAGGGTCAGATCTAGAAATTTCTATTAGGGTGAGCTAAAATAAAAACTAATTGCATATTAATATCTTTGTCCATTAATATTTCTGTTAGGGTAGCCCAAAATCCAGAAATTATACATATTAATTTTTTTTTTTTTTTTTTTTTAATTTGAAGATGGGCCATGGAGTAGCATCCGCCCCTGGGACTAAATAAATAATTATTCATATAAATTCTTGTAAAGTTTTGAGGCTTGAATATATTTAAAGTGTAATGTTAAGAAAAAAGGAGGAGGATCAAACTATGAAAAATTAATGAAATTAAATTTTTTTTTTTAAAAAAAAAAGGTAAATTTAAAAGGGGTCAAAGTGTAATACCTAATGAATAAGAAAGGTCAAAATAAAAATATTTTTTAAAATTATGGTGATTCAGCTAAAAGGGAAAAAATAATAGTGTCTTAAATCTGCGAATTCTAAGTCTAGAAAATCATTAAACATCCTTTGAATCTTCAAGAGTCTTGACACAATTTCAAAAATTTTGGAGATACAATAAAAAGGAAAGGAAATAACTTACCCTTGGGTGACCAAATGGTTTGATAGGAACTTTTGGATGTATTACTTAAAAAGTCTTGAGTTCGAGTTTCTCCTCGATTACTAATAAGGGTGGTCACCAGAGTTCTTACTCAGTCAGTAATTCTAAGATCTCGAAGATTAGCTAAGGTGTGCATAAACTGACTCGGACACTCCGATCATAAAAAATAAAAATTAATAAATAGATAAAAAGGAAATTCATTTTAACGAACTTAGTAGTCAATACTAATAATTCCTATGTGGATGAGATGTTGGATGAGCTAAAATATAACCACCCAGGGCCCTTCAAATCAGCCTGTCCAAGTTATTGAAAACTCAATGAATTGGCCCAATACCAGTGATAAACCATAGGCTGGGGCTTTGAGGAAGACCTAAGCCTGCATATATGGGTCACAACGCTCACAAGGGATCAACCATCATGGCCCTAAACTAGAACAGAAGGACAGTTGATAAACTTGGTCAGCAACCAGTAGCGGATCCAGAAAATTGTTTTAGGGTGGGCCAAAATAAAAACTAATTACATATTAATATTTTTATCCATTAATGTTTTTATTTGGGTGGACCAAAATCCAAAAATTATATACATCAGTATTTAAAAAAAAAAACTGAGGGTGTGCCATGGGCTGGATCCGCCCGTCAGCAACCTCTACTGAAGGAGGATTACAGACCTCAATTTTGTGGACTGAGAGAGCAATGATCAAGTTAAGCTCCACTTCCTTCTGCAGACTGCAATAACAATAATTTTCCAGGTTTATAACAATGAAAATAAGGAGGGAGATTTTTACATACCTCTTTACTCATTGATGTAAGTAATTCTAGAGTTTTGACGAAGCAAATGTAGAGTCGCGATGAATATCCTCAACATGAGAAATTTTTGAAAAATTCTGCCTGCAACTTTCTCTCAGGATCAGAGAATTTGTATCTTCAATTCTCTAAGGGCAGTAAGATTCTTCATCCCATTTGGTAGATATGACAATTCTGGGAACCTCACAATCTCAAGTTTTTGAAGTGCTGTGAGATTTGAAAGCCATTCCGGTAGTGTTTTGATATTTGGACATGCTTCAATCTTCATGTATTCTGAAATACTTGCAGAGCCTTGAAGAATCAACTGGGGCAAGTCCACTAGTTCTAGTAACTCATAAATCATGAACACTTGAACATTTCCAATTATGTTAAATTAAAATTAGGATTCCCATTCCTTTCCAAATTGTTTAATTCAGGGATTGGGCCTGGTATGAGGACTTCATCCCTAGTTAGGAGAAGGATTCGAACTGACTGTCTTCCGCTGAATATAAACAGGAATGAGCCTCATTCCACTAACCATGGAAGGGACTGTTCATAGATAAACTCAACCTTTTTGTTTGCCTAGTTTGAACATCATGCTGTCTTTAATTTAACGGAAAGCATGCTTTCTAACAAAAGAAATGCATTCTGAATATATGATACATAATATAACAAATGGAAAAGATATAAGCAATAGAGATAACCAAACAAACAGTAGATTGGGAAACGTTCCGAAGCATTATCCAATACAAACATGATTAACTTAATCAAGCATAAATAGGGGAAATTACCTTTTCCCTGGAAGTTTAATGAAAATACAACACACCCACAGATTTCAAGAAGTGACAAATAAAAAAACTAACAATTCAAGAACAAAAAAAAAAAAAAAAAAAAAAAAAAAAAAAAAAAAAAAAAAAAAAAAAAAAAAAAAAAAAACGCAGCATCACAATTAGCAGGACTCCGAATCGAAACTTCTTCCACTGGCTGAAGACTTTGCCAGAGTCTCTGGGGAAGCTGCAACAATTGAATAATTCAAGTTAATAAGTAAAAAGGTCAGAGAAACAAATTTACTCTCTTAAAGGTTATATTATATATCACTTTAAAAATAAAAAGATTCGGCAATGAATAATTCCAGTCATTTTGTGAGTTGCATGGGGCAAAGGAAAGTGTTTCATACTATGTATTCGAGATAATTATGTATTTACAAAAATACTGTCTCAATTTATTATATTCCATCAGATTTAGGATATATCGATAACTTCTAATTCTTTCTTTTTCTATTGATTCTTTTCCGAGACGTGTAAAATCAATAATATCGATCAAATACAAATAATAAAATCAAAATTATTAATTAATATAGAATTATAACATCAAGAAAATCTATGTGAAAGGATTTATGAATTTATATGTTACTTACAAATAATCGTATTTCTCCGATGAATTGAAAAGCCTACAGAAACAATATTGTACCAGGAAACTACGCAAACAAAACATGAAATTTATCGTCTATGAAAATATATATATTTCTAGTTTGTAGTAGATGACAATAATATAAAGACTTTTCATCGTAGCTATTTATCAAATATTGGATAAAAATTTCCATTTACGGCAGAATAAAAAAATAGTTACTGCATTGATAACATCATAAAGAGAGAGAAATTTTCACATACCTGGCTATTTATTCATTAGTCAATTCATCAAAGAAGCTATCATGGATCCAGTTGAATCGCCGGCACATCAGATTTTTTCGGCAAATTCTTCGTGTAGCTTTCACTCAGGGTAGGACAATTTTGTATCTTCCATTCTCTAAGGTTGGTGAGCTTCTGCATCCCGTCTGGCAGAGATGACAGTTCTTGGCAACTTAAAATCTCAAGTTTTTTAAGTGCTTTGAGACTCGCAAGCCATGGTGGTAATTCTTTGAGCTCTGGACATGCTTCAATCCGCAGGTACTCTAGAGTGTCAGTCCAGTGGTTGGAGTCGCCGCTTTGCTAGTTCTTCTTGCTCTAGTTGGGGTCTTCGCCTTGCATATTTTTCTTCAGATTAATCTTCGGACAACTGTGTATCACCAGCTTCTTCAATCCTTTCAGATCTTTTATATTGTATGGCAATGAGTTCGAGCTATCACAACCTTGCAAAACCAATGTTCGGAGGCCGGTGAAACTTTGTATCCATTCTCCAATCTCTTTTATAGTTATTTCCAAATATCTAAGACTGGTCATCTTCTGCATGTTGTGAGATAACTTCTGAAGATTTGAACAACCAAGAAGTATTAAGGTTTGTAAATTCAGAAGTTTAGAAATATGCTCAGGAATTTCCTTCAAACGTAAATTCCAAGATAAGTCTAGATATCTCAAATGTATCAGTGCACCAATAGAAACTGGCAACACTTCAAATTGAAGACAATTGAAGCATAACAACCTGAGGTACTTAAAATTTGATATCCATGCATTAAGGAAGGCCGTAGTAACATGCTCAGATAGTATACCTTGCATGATGATGGTCCGCAATTTCTTGGAAATAGATGCTTCTGGACCAGAATCCTCGATGTCGAGAAATGACAAATGTCGAGCATTTCTTTCAATTTTTTGGATTCTGAGATCTACCGCTTCGCATTCTGTTTGTGCTACTTTGAGGACAAGATCATGTACAAAGTCATGCATCTGAAATGTAAAAAAATAACCATGATCTTCAACATCTTGAAAAAAACATCTCGAACTTAATTCGTTGAAATATTGCAACCCAACTTCTTCCAACTCTTTATTTTCATTATCAGTAGCAAGAAAACCATGCGCTTCCGACTCTTTCTTTTTATTATCAGTAGCAAGAAAACCATGCGCTTCCGACTCTTTCTTTTTATTATCAGTAGCAAGAAAACCATGCGCCATCCAATGACAGACCAGATAATTACTGTTGAAGCAATAACCCTTAGGAAACAAGGAACAATATGCCAAACATCTTCGCAAACGGGATGGCAAATGAGCGTAACTCAACTTCAACGCTTGTTCTTGACTCCATTCTCTGTTTTCTTTAATTAGCGACCGAATAGACGGCTCTCTGCTTTGATGAAGTAGGGTTCCTAAAGTTTTCACAGCTAAAGGATTGCCCCCACATTTTTCCCAAATTCCATCCCTAATTTCAATGAGCTCTTGATCTGTGCTTTGTTCATCTGTAAAAGCCGCCGATTTCTCAAACAACAATATAGAGTCTTCTCGGGAAAGGCCTTCTAAAACAGACTTGTCAACCGCGCCCATTACTTTCGCTACTTGATTACTACGTGTAGTAACCACAATTTTGCTCCCATTGGGTTTCTGCGTCAATAAGTTTTTGAATTTGTCCCATTTATCATAATTTTCATTCCACACATCATCCAAGACTAACAAAAATTTCTTACCACCCAATTGATCCAGCAACCGATCTTCTAACACATTGACGGCTAATCCAGCTTGATTTTGACCAGTTGCAGAAGTACAAGTTTCTTTCATCAAAGTAATTATATCAAAGTCCTCAGGTACACGTACCCACATCTTTAGATCAAAGAGTTCGTCTATCATTTTGTCACTATACACCAATTTGGCTAGAGTGGTTTTTCCAATACCTCCACCGCCAACTATGGTGATGACAGAGACCTTTTCACCTTCATTTTTTGGTTGCTTCAAAAAGTTTATAATTTTTTCCTTATCACCGTCTCTCCCGAAAACTTCTGAAGCACCAACACAGGTGTGATTTATCATCATCTCCTCCAAATTATCTCTCCAAACATCACCACATTTAAGCTTAACAGCAGCTACTATTTCATCCAACTTTTCTATAATATCATCGAGTTTTCTACTTTCCTTAACAAGAGGAATATATGAGCATATCGGAAAGAATCTTTTTGGCTTCGCCGATGGTTTCCCCAGTTCGCACTCCACTTCATCCACCACGTCCTCAGCATCATACAACTGATCTGAAAGCTGTTTAAGGTATTCCTGCAGCACGCCGTTCTGTGCCTGCTTTTTCTCGGCATTCAAGAGGTTGACTTTGATTTTCGACAAGGTTTTTTGGAGCTCCGTTATTTCTTCCGGAATACCCCACAACGGCCTCTTTTCTTTTTTGGAAAGAAAGGCTATCTTTGACAAAATGTTAGTGGCAATGGTCGATGGAAATGATTCCGCCATGTTCTTTGAGTGGGAGGAAACAGAAGGGTGCAGATCGGGATAAAGAATTATCTGAGAAATTAATGAGAACTGATGCTTTGATCTTTTTTATTATGGATTATATGTTTCATGAAGTTAAGTTACTTTGAGGGAATGATCGATTTATTTTTCCTTCTAATATAGCTTTTATTCTTTTTTGAAAAAATTTAATAAATCAAATTAAAGTATGAATTCTTCTTAATTGACTTTGTAGATAAGACTATTCATTCATTTTTTTTCACTTTTACCCTTTCACTCTAACAACGAGGGAAAACCACTCTTACACTAGAGTAACAATAGTCGGTTGTATCTATTAAACCAATTAAAAAAAGGTCAGGTTGTAATTTGTTAAAAAAAAAAAAATGTTTTTCTTGTGGTTTAACCTTCTTTATTTCTTGTCTTCATCCCTCTTCGCTTTTCCTTCTTTCTGTTTTTAATTTTCCGGGAATCTATTATCTATTAAGCCGATTAAAAAAAGGTCCGGTTGTAATTTGTCCAAAAATAAAAAAGGTCTGTCGCGTAGTTTAACCTTTTTTTCTTTCTTGTCTTCATCCCTCTTCGCCTTTCTTTCTTTCTGTTTTTCATTTTCCGGGAATCTATTATCTATTAAACCGATTAAAAAAAGGTCAGGTTGTAATTTGTCCAAAAATAAAAAAGGTCGTCTTTCGTGTAGTTTAACCTTTTCTTTCTTTCTTGTCTTCATCGCTCTTGGCCTTCCCTTCTTTCTGTATTTCATTTTCCGCGAATCTCCTTTCCAAATGCTTTTCTTCTTAATTTGAAGATTAGGAGCTCACCTCATTCATTATGTAAATTTATGACTTGTTTTTAGTTTTATTTTACCCACCTCCACGTGATTGATTGACATGCATACCAATCTAATCAATAAATTTTGTCAAGACTCAATAAATATTGAAGATAATATCATTTATGAGTTGTCTACATCTTTGATATTGTCTACATCTACCTTGGTACGACTAGCAATTAGATAATAAATAATTCTGAGATGATTAATATGCTTGATAAACGTTGATAATAAATAAGTAGCAACGACTTTTGTACAATTTGTAATTAGATAATAAATAGTTCTGATGAGAAGATTAACATGCATGGAGAAAACGTTGATAATAAATAACAAGTACCTTGATACAATTAGTAATTAAATAATAAATAGTTACAAGGAGATTATCATTATTAGTTGTCTACCTCTTATAATAACACAACAACTCAAGCGACTGACTTTTAAGGTGATGGGTGGGTGGATGGAATTAATGTTATCTTAATTACAGCCTCCTACTATCATCTGTCTATTTATCGATGAAATTAATTACTGATGTTACAAAGTTGGTGCATACACTAATTCAAGATTAGAGCATCTCCAAATGGTTTTATCGTGTAATACTTGCAAGAAAAAAATTACTGATATGAACAGCAACAATTTCTACTATGTTAAATGCAATAGAGAGACTCAATTCCCACAGATGAGGTATATCAATTGTTATTCTAAATTGAATTGTTGGTATAAACTAATGCATGATAATCTTAAAAATTGATGTTTAATAATCAATAATTGTTGATATAACAGGTACAAGGTTAATTTGCAAGTCACAGACGGCAATGTTGGAACAACCCTTATATTGTTTGATACAGTATGCCAGTTGTTAATTAGGTTGTCATGTTCCCAATTACTAAAAAGTTAAGAGTGACAAAAGCTCAAACTAAACTTAGAAATTTCTAGAGAGAAAAATAAGAATAGTCGAGTATGAATTCATTGATTGAATTAGTTTTACAACCACTTAGAAACTTATACACAAAACAGTGTGTAGAGAGAGTGAAGATGCAGGAACTTAAAATGTAGTCGCAAAATACCATCGTTTTGGGACAAAAAGACCACAAGACTTGAAACGCCACTGTTTTCACCTATTTACAAAACAGTACAACAACTTATGAACTTAACACCCTGATCCTATGACAAAAACATCTTTGGTCAACATTCCCCCTTAAAATAACCTCTCTATCCTTCTTTTGCCAGCTTTTTAAGAATTTCTTTGATCAACTACTCCCTGTAAACTCAACTTCCTTTATCCCTTTTACACTCTTTGAATTCATCATTTGCATTAGCTCAAAAATACCATCACATTCAAAATTCAGCAGGTCTGCAATTCTACATCAGCTTACTGCAACTTTACAACTTTGCATTACCTCAAAATAGCATCACATTCAATCATTCAGCAAACTGCAACTTTGCATTAGCTCAACCTTGCACAATTGACAACTCAACTTCACTTCTGCATAACTAAAAGCAACTCTGCAACTCTATAGTAGCTCAACTTTGGACAATCAGTAACTCAACTTCTTTACAACTTAAAATTTAGCAACTTAGCAGTAGCTCAACTTTGCAACTTTGTACAATTAACAACTCAACTTTTGTACAACTAAAATTCAGCAACTCAGCAACTCTGGAGTAGCTCAACTTTGCAACTTTGTACAATTAACAACTCAAGTTCTGTACAACTTAAAATTCAGCAATTTAACTGTAGCTCAACTTTACAACTTTGTACAATTAACAACTCAACTTTTGTACAACTAAAATTCCGCAACTCAGCAACTTTGTAGTAGCTCAGCTTTGCACAATTAACAACTCAATTTCTACACAACTTTGAATCAATTCAACTCTACAATAGCTAAACTCTGCACAGTACTAAATCCATAACCAATCTTTGGTACTTTATTAACAAATCTGTACACCATCTATGAAATCAATTTTGCACAACAGTATCATTTTTGTACAACATTATCAAACCTGCAACTTCAGTGCATAAAATCAATTTTGCTTCTGGACTATATCAATTGAGAAAGACTAATCCTTAGCCCAATTGACAGCTGCAGGAACTTCAACCACAGTTAACTTATGTTTTAACTTATTAAAATGGGAGATTAATAGGGCTTTAATAAGAATGTCAGCAATTTGCTGCTTTGAGGGAACATACTGAACAGCTAACTTCTTAGCTAGAACTTAATCCCTAATGTAATGGGCATCAATTTCAATATGTTTGGTGCGAGCATGAAACACAGGATTGGCAACCAATGCTCCTGCACTCACATTGTCAAACCAAATAATAGGAGAAGTAGCCAAAACAATACCTAATTCTGAAAAAATACTTTGTAACCAGGCTTTCTCTGTGGCAGTATTAGCTAATGCTCTGTACTCAACCTTAGTAGAAGAAAGTGCCACTACTTTCTACATGCGGGTGCTCCATTGTATGAGATTAGGACCCAAGTAAACACAATAGCCACTTGTGGATCTCCTATCATCAAGATTATTGCCCCAATCAGCATCAGCATAGCATTCTACACTAAGAGAAGCTGTTGGTTTGAACATTAGACCATGGAACTGAGTACCCTTAATGTATCTGAAGACTCTCTTAGAAGATTGCCATTGTAAGTCTATGGGAGCTTGAAGAAACTAAATCAACTTATTGACAGTGAAGCTGACGTCAGGTCTAGTTAGGGTCTGCTAGAGTAGATGCCCTAGAGCCAATCAATTATTGAAGAATTGACTCTTTGTAATAATGTTCATTAATCAATAATAAAAGGCATTTTATTCTATATTGCGTAAATCATTATTATTGCAATATGTATTGATATATGTCCTTAGAATGGTAGAACTGTGACGAGGATATCAAGTGTTTCAAATCTTAATAGTGAGAACCCTATGAGCACATATGGTGGCCATTCTAGAAACATATGTAGCCCTAGTATTATTCTGAAGTAAGGGCACAGATAATACAGTAAGGCTATCATAGTGTTTAACGACCCTGTCGAAAGGCAGTGACTGATTTCACTTGTCAAGGTTGTTTGTTGACAACCTGGTGCAACACATGGATGCTTGCTGTAGGCAAATACACCATAGCAAGTTCACTGGACTGACCCACCAGAGGATTCCATATGGATGGTAACCCCAGTGTCTATGGAACAAATCCTCTAACGAATGGTGGTGCATGTGATCCTTAGACTTGAGATCACCGGAGCGCCTTGTGCACCGATTGGTGTAGTTTGACACTAGCCTAACGCAGTTCTTTTCAGAGCTGTCAATACGGTGGTGATTGGCTGCATCAAGGAGTGTATCAAGACTATGGTGGATTGACAGAGGATTTATCACTCCCGGGTACGGGAGAAAGTTATCTCACGGCGCAATTCAGTATATGGCAATGACACTAAAACTGTGGCCACAGTGGGATTGAGTTGTTGCTCTATCCAGTTTATAATACGGGTCATTGGTCCAGAAACTGAATAAATAATATCGAGAGTAACCGAAGGTTGACACTATTTCTATGCCTTCGTCTCGTCGAGATAACGTATGATGAAAGGATCGAATTGTACGGTAACCATATCGTTGACAGGTAGCTACTTTGCTGAATCCGAATCTATCGGGTGGCCATGATGCCTTGCTAGGGGCCAATCTTGGTCTGTGTATTAGTGAGACGATTAATTGGTGTTAATCGCGATACTATACACTGCCGATATGATGAGGAGGCTATGGGTCACACACATAGAAGACAATTTAAGATCCAAGAAGAAAGAAGGGCGTTTTCGTCTTTTAAGGCGAAAGGGTATTTTGGTAATTTCACAGTGCAATTAAATTTGCTGAGTTCATAGCCTTTATTTAATTTGTTAGAAAAAATTAAATAAGTGAAATTCCGTTTAAATATATGTTTGCATATATTTAAATAAATTATCATTATTGTTAAATGTTAATATATATATATATATATTAAATATATATTAATTGATTTTAATTGAGATAATGATGAATTAAATTAAAATATCTAATTGGAAGTGTTTGGCAAATTTGGGAGTGTTTGGGTTGGAGCCCAAGCCCATTCCATATGGGAATAGGGCAACTAAAATAACACTATAAAAGAAAAGGTTTTAGTTGAAAAAAAAAAATGAGTATGTGTTATTTTATTATTTGATTTTTCATT